CTTGATATTGGCACCAAAGCACTCTTGCAAGGAATAGAACTACTATATCACTAGTCTTAGCTAGTAATATTGAAGACAATTTCTCGTTCACAAAGCGTCAAATTTTCATTGAGAAACTAAAAGAAATGTAACCAAGAAAACTTCAGATGTCTCCATGATACACCACAAGGACGCCCTCCCTCCTTTTTCAGAATAGTTTTATTAGATATATCAAAGGCCAACAAATTTATTACAGAAAATTGGAATATCCAATATGCTGAATTGTGTCGGTGACCACCAGGTCATCTTAATGTTTTAATAACTACATAAACATTCAAAATAATCAACTAACTCCATCTATTTCTTTAGAAATTCATCAAATCAAAATAGCAGTTACTAGGCCAGTAAGAAACGGTTACCATGTGAACAAGGAGACTTCATAGCAACGGTTGCTAAGACAATTAAAATGAGGCTGGTTGCTATGGAGATGAACTTTTAGATCTCAGTTTGTGACTGAAAAGGAGTAATGTGGAGTATATGAAAAATCAAGACATGCAAAGGAATGATTATTCTGACAATCTATTCGACACTATACCAAACGAGTAGCTGCTATTTTGAAATCATTTAATATACATCATTGGAAAAGCTTTGCCGCCGAAAAACAAGCGGTTTTCATTAGTTCGTCATATAAAACTAAAACTCTGTGTTCGAGAATTCATTGAGATATCGTGCAGACGAGTAATTTCAAATGAATTATGTGCAATCTTAGTTAGGCATGTGCAATGACAGTGCTAAGCCAGACTTACTTCTCCATATCAAACTAATGATATCAGAAATCGTATCTCGATTTTCGAGTATAGTCGAATCTGTCTGAAAAAGAAAGAATGTCATATTTGCGACTGCCTCTAAATTCAACGCATGACTCATTTGACTCATCCCGCTGCCCATAAATGCGCCTCATATTCTCCCTAATGAATATCTTTATGTATTATCTTGCTATTGGTTGATTCAGATTTGGCCGGGAGGGAAAAAGGGACGACATTCGTGTCTAAAATAGATAATATTTTTCTATTTATATATTTTCAATTGTACACAATTGTATTATAAAACAAAGAAAATCAATCAAAAAGACCAGAAAATACAAATATTTTAAGTTACAAATTTAATTACTTTTCTTACACGACTTTGTTGCCCAAAATACTACTGTCTGTTGGGGGGTAGGGTGGGGACAATTTGGCCGCAATAGACTGTCCTACCAGCAGACACAGAACAGTGAAGTTTAGAAAAACGTTCTTACGATATAGACAAACTAATACCCCAATAAACATTAATAGATATCAATAATGACCACAAATACATCAATATAATATCATATATAAAAAACTACCTTCGAAGCACAAGTATCACAGCCTTTCTCGTACAAAATTGTAAAATATTGGCAATAAACCTGGCCGGTACTGGCTTTTTTCTTCTTCTAAGCGGCATCTTTATTTTTTCTTTTTTATTATCGTATATAACAAGTACAGTATATCTACACATTTAACAAAAACAATGCCCCCTCAMTACCCTACTTTGTTTGATAATCTTCTCTCAGGGGAGGGGTGAGTTCAAATTGGGGTTATTTGGTTTTCTCTCGGAAAATTGTTTTGGATACTAGATCCTCATAACGGAGATGGTATTTATATAATATATATATATGGTTTATGTATATATATATTCCTTTGTTGTTGTTGTTATTGTCACGTTGGTGGCTTGGACAACTTACTAATTACACGAATCAAGGCACCATTTTCATCTTTCAGTTTTTGATTCTCGGCCTTCAGGTCATCTAATTGCTGAAAAAGAGAAAATTAACTTCATGATCAGTAGTGTAAACCAACTTCAACAAGAGTAGCTGACGATTATTCACCACTGTCATCGGTAAACATACAAATCAACCTCTCCCCACCTCAACGCAGGGACAAGAGACAGGGAACGAAGTAGAATACAAATGTATCTAGATTTTAAGTACAATCTCACATAAACGTACCTTCAAATCTTCAGTTAATTGTGTAAGTTTTTGTTCTAATTTTTCCTTTTCTTGGGTAGTAGTCTCTAGTTTCACTTTGTACTCCTGAAGTTCTATATGAGCTTCTTGGAGTTGTTCTTGGAGTTTTTTCGGGTCGGTCTCGGTAATCCGAATAGTAGTATTGCCCTACAAATCAATAATCAATCGAGTTAAAAAAAAAAATAAAATAAAGTAACAAACGTATGCTAACAACTTGATATCGATTGAAAGTCTACTCACTCGGGCTGTAAGACGATGTACTCGAGAATCCGCCATAGTATTGACCTATAAAACAAAACAAAAAATATTTAGAAAAATTATCAATTTTCCAAAAAGTATATGCAAGCTACTTGTTATTGGGTAAATCATGATGTACTTACTTGGGCTGTAGACAGGGGAACTCGTGAGTCCGCTGTACCTGTAGCTCTGTTGCACAAAAATGCAAAAAGAAATCAAAATATAGATAATATAAACATCTGCAACTATTGCAGACAGTGGCCGGGCTGAAATAATTTGAGTTTCCAGAAAATGACTTAAAACAGTAAAATTCTTAATAATGCTTAGCAAAACTCAAATGTTTCCCACCCTTCTCAAGTTATAGACAAAATAATTGTACAACTTTTAATCGAGTAACAATCTGACTGATACAATATGTAGTTCAATATATAAGTATTTTTGATATGTAACTGTATGAGGGAATAATCATTCTCAAAAACGTTTAAAATATTTAATACATTGATCAATGGTGTTGTTTTTCAAAGATAAGTTGGAAAAGAGAGTGTAGAGATGTGTTACCTTGAGCTTCGTATCCTTTCCGTGGTCTGCGTATGAAAACAACAGTGAGAACATGACAGTGTTAAACATGTTAGAAATGACAAAAATGATAGTTGGTTATAAAACATGGACTACATAATTAATCTTTATTGAAATCTATCCCTGGGTTAGATGGGTAAATACTTATCATTATTGAAAATTATCATCATAATTATCATTATTATCATTGATATTATCCATAATTTTTATTCTATTGATTATTATCATTAATGATTAGCTTTACAATTAATTAAATTAAATTATGTTATGATTACAATTGATGCTTTATAAATAACTAAACTCTGTACATTTAACCATCCATAGGCCGATTTAGACAGTGCAACTTTTGCCTACAACTATAGCATGCAACATACCTAAGTCATCATTACAACATGCCTACAACTGTTGTAGGGTTATCAAACAATCGTTTTTAATCTCTATACAGTTGTAGCCATGATGTAAGGATGTTGTAAGGCATGTTGTATGCGATAGTTGTAGGCAAAAGTTATACCGTCTAAATCGGCCTTATAACAAAACCTTATTATTAGTCATCATAATCATCATCTTAACCACTAGCATCATAATCATATGCATGCATTAAATAAACGTTTGTGTTCTTGCAGAGATGTCAATAAMATKTCAGAAAAAATCACAGATACCTTGGAATCACTAGAATCCCTATCAAAGTTCCTGCTATGTCTGTAAGATGACGTCCTTGGTTCAGCCACCTCATTTGCCTTGGTATTCTTCTTAGAATCTTGCGAGTCATCACTCTTTTATAAATATAAGAAATTAATGGGTTATAACTTACTGTTAGTGAGGTTAGGTTAGACCTTGTGTTATTCATATTATATAATAGTGCTTATTAGAGTATTATATCACTGAGATGTGAGTATTAGTACATTAAGAAACAATAAAACCAACAAAATGACCTAAATTACAGAAAACCACTTTACCTAAAATAGGTTATTGGAGAAAACACGACTGCGCGAAAATAATTTCCGTTAATTATTACGTTAGTACAATGTTTCACACACGTTAACATATGCGTTACGTAAAGTACACTTTTAAAGTTTTCCATACATTGGTTGAGGAAGACGCGTTACGTTTTTTGACCCGTTTGAACAATTTTCCATACGTTAGTTTAGAAAAACACGTTAGGTTAATCACACTGCCAGGAAGACGCGTTACGTTAGCCAACCCGCTTGTACAGTTTTCCATACGTTAGTTAAGAAAAACACGTTACGTTAATCACACCGTCAGGAAAACCGTTACGATAGCTAACCCGTTTTTACAATTTTTCTATAAGTTAGTTAAGAAAAACACGTTACGTTATTCATACCACTAGAACAGTTTTCCAAAAATTTCGGGTCCAGATTACGTACGATTAGCTGTTATTTTCACGCACGTTATGATACGTTTTTATGCGTTCGTTAGCCTATCTGACTAGCTCTCACCTATGTTTATTAATAAGTATACGTCGGTTATAAAGTCTGTTCGAAGAAGCTCCGACAGGATATCGCTTTCAACTCGGTTTCCGACATCAGACCGGCATTACAACGAACGGCTTGGTGAAAAGGGTCGAAAACAAAAATGCACCGAAAACTCTAAAACTTGGTATGAAAACAAAAACAATTCATGAACGAAAGAAACTCTAGACATTAACGTATTGCACGCGGATAGAAAGAGAAGGATAAAAACATTGTCATCAATTTCACAAAAATATAAGATGAAGTGATGTTTAGAGAGTAAAAATAGGAAGAATTTTAAAACAAAAAAAAACTGATTAACGATATTTATGTGCAGGGTGCAAATCATTGTTGTTGTGAATTAGGATCTACTTAATCCACATCTCTAAGGGTGAGGCGTACCTCTTCAGTAGGCATGTAGGCTACGCCTGTACCACGCCGTTCGTCTCTTAACTTCCTTGGTCTGTGTCTTCGTGTGCCGGAGCTGAGTGTAACGTCACTTTCCTTCTCCCTTTCTTCCTTTTGTCTAGAAATACTCGAGTTTGTTTCGCTCACCTTTTGTTCTCGTTCTTGGCGACGACTATACCGTGAGCGCGGGACTTCGCTTTCTTTTCCCTTTTCATTCTCTTTTTCTTTTTCCTGCTCTTTCTCTCGTTGCTCCTTTTCCTTACGCTGGGCCTCTCGCTCCAATCGCTTTTGCCTCCAAGATGAAATTTTATCGTCATTATCCTTGTCCTCTGTACGTAATTTCTTGTTCGATACGCTGTCTTCATTCTTATCTGTGGYGGTTACTGTTGGGCGATTTCGTCCACGTGTATAGTCTGAGGACGCACTGGTTGATTCCTGGAAAAAAGTCAAACTTTTACTGGACTGTTCAATGTACATTAAT